GGGGAGGGGAGGTGGGAGCGGGGGGGACTCGCCTGCTCCTGCTGCAGCGCTTTCACGAAGGCGTTCTTCAGCCGGTTGGTGTGCTCGGCCTTCAGCGCCTTCTTCTGGTTGGAGGTCATGCACTGCTCACACAGGATCTTCCCGCTCTTCTCCTGCTTCCAGTGCGGCGTGAAGTCGGTGCGGCACTGAGCGCAGACAAAGGGCTCCACACGCAGGAGGGACGCACAGCCTTTGCCTAGACCAACAGCCGGGGTCACCAGGGCGGCGCAGACGCCCAGCCTCCCCCGCCGCCCAACTGGCACCTCTCGCGCCCCTGGGTCAGCGCCGGGCACAGGCAGAGCGACTCAAGGGAGGGGCTCAGGCGGGGCTGGCGCGGGACTGCCCGCAAGGAGGCATGGAGTCCAGTCTCCCGCCCTCAGGGCAGGACCCAGCACCGTCTAGAGCATCCCCGGCAGGTGTCTGGCCACCCTGCTCTTAAATATCCCCAGGGACGGAGATTCCACAACCCCCTGGGCACCGTATCCCAGTGTTTGACCCCCCGACAGGCAGGGTTTTTCCTAATGTCCAACCTGAACCTCCCTGGCTGCAGTTTAAGCCCCTTGCTCCTTGTCCCGTCCTCAGAGGCCGAGGGGAACACGTTTTCTCCCTCCTCCTTGGAACACCCTTTAGATACTTGAAAACCGCTCTCATGTCCCCTCTCAGCCTTCTCCTTTCCAAACCAAACAAGCCCAACTCCTTCAGCCTCCCCTCAGAGCTCATGTCTTCTAGAGCAGTGTTCCTCAAGCAGTGGTACTTGAGAAGTCTGGGCGGAGGGACAGCAATACAACTGACATTTGGAGAAAGCTGAAGTTTTAAGTTTTACAGCTTTATTGTTTTTGTACTTTTTACCCCCAAAAATTTCATCATCCACCCAGCTACGATCAATTGAGTGTCTGAAAACTGTAGGTACTGGGTGTGTGGGTGTGGGTGTGTGTGTGTGGGTGTGGGTGTGGAGTGTGTGTGTGTGGGTGTGTGTGGGGGGGTAAATATGAAAAGGGGTACTTAAAAAGATTGAGAAACAGTTCCAGACCTGCATCATTTCTGTTGCTCTTCTCTAGCCAGTGGCCAGCTCTAAACCCGGGTGTGAAACTGCGAGGTCCCAACCAGTGCCGATGGCCCCGCAAGTCCCGCTGGCGGGCAGCAGGGCAGACATGGGAAGGCTGGCTGATTTCAGACGGCCCTCAGCGGAGGAGTGCGGGCCCCGTGCACCCCTGGCCCTTTCCAGCCCAGGTGGCCCCTTGCCCAAGAGTACTGCAGAGGGCTTCTCCCAGCTCTGCGCCTGGCTGCCCCTCCTGTTCCCGGGAGGGAAGGTGCTGCGCGTTGCCCTGGGAACGGGACCAGCAGGAGCCGGAGGAGATGGGCTGGGTTCGCTGGGGGGTGTCCCAGCCAAGGGGCGGAGGTGGGTTTTTTTCCAGCCTCCCTTGCCCCAGCTGAGCGGCCCAGGGACCCATGCGGTGCTCGCTAGCCAATCAGCACTCTGGTCTCTTCCGCGTCTGCGCAGGCAGCTCCCTGCTCGCCGCTGCTGGCCAGGGGAGGATTTCACCAAGCAGGCTGGCAGCACCTGGCAGCCATGACCCAGGCAGGCAGCCAAGCCGCAGCACTGGGCACAGCCTGTTTTCCAGGAGGGAAGCGACAGGCCCGTGCTCCGTGCGGGAACGGAAGCCAGCGCCCGGCACTCACCTTGGCTGTCGATAACACTCTGCACCACCTCCTCGAGCCCCACCATGTAGATGAACTCGCTGTTGGCGGCGCTGGGCAGGAAGTGCAGCAAGGGCGCCGGCGGC